TTATTTTGGTACTGGGGATCAAAGTTGGGACCTTGCACTTGCAAGGCAATCCCTGGCTCCATGAGTCATTTCTTTAATAGTCCGTGGGCTGAACAGGTTTAGGGACGTCCACAGGAAGTGAGTCAGGTGTCAGGCTGACCTGTTGGCAACAGCTTTCTGCCTTCACTACTCGTCTAGCTGTATTTCACAGGATTTGCATCCAACACTGGGATGCAAAGAAGGCATTTACCTGGGGGAACATCCTCAGGAGGCAGCTAGAATGATGGGTAAGTGAGGAAAGGGGTTGCAGAATTTTCAGTGGCATAGATTGTTTTCTTTTTAAAATTTTATTTTATTACTGTATGTTTGCAGTACATCAAGTTTACATTCATATTAGTGAATAGGTATGCGTACATAACATAGCCTGATTCTTTTTATTCCACTCTCCCTCTGCCCCCACCTCCGTCTCTCCATCTCTAAACCCCCTTTCCCCATTTTCATTATTATTGTTATTATTTTTAGTTTACGTTGATGACATATAGTGTTTACACATATTATGGTTTTGTAATGTATGCACACAACACATCTTAGATATTTTTACTTCCGCTTCTTTTCCCTCCTCCCCTTTTCTAGACAGAAAAGCCTTCCTTGTGTTTTCACACAGCTACACTACTCATCATTTATCATAATAATGAGCACTTATCAGCTCCTTAGAAAATTTTATCAGCTTAAAAGAAAATTAGGGCAAGTGTTACTATCCTCTTTTACATACAAGGAAGGGAGATTCCGAAAGATGGTCATCTGTCCCGAAGTCACAGAAGCGACAAGTGGTAAAGCTGGGGTAGGTGCTCACGCCTGTGACATGTATGTTTGAGATACCACATTATCTTTTGATGCCAATATCCAGACAGTAGGTAGGTACACTTTCCTGGAATGCCTTTGGTTTTGCATTTGGTTTGTTTATTGCAGGGAAAGTTAGAGACATATTTTTCAACTTTGCTCTTCTTCAATGCCCCTCTCACACATAAGTTCCCTGCCATAATTAACGTTTCCAACAGGCCATTCTTCGCAGGTCTCTTTCCCAGCCCATTTCTCATATCCCATCCCCTCACTAGAGGCCACAATTTCTATAACCACAGTCAATCAACAGCATGATAAGAGGCAGCAATAAAGGTCTTTTAAGATGTCCAAAAACAAGTAGGAGGATAAAGTTAGGGTATGGTGCTTGGGTAGGGAAAGTCTCCTAAAGAAGGTGGTGAGTCTCTATCCAGGAGTCAAAAAGGAGATGAAGAAGGATTAGGGAATGGACAGAAGCTTAGAAGGGCTGGGAATTTTGCTCAGTAGTTCTGCTGCCTGTCCTGAGTTCAATCCCTGATACCCCCCCCAATAAAGGGGGGGGTAGGTGAGAAATGAGACAGGGGTACTGAAGTGTGATACAAGGATTCCTCGTCATGTAACTCCTTGGAAGGGAACGGTGGTGACTTCAAACAGCTTAAGCATATAGATTGCTTCATTATTAAAAAGGCACAGAGATAAAAGTTTAAACTCACCCGTAAGATTTCCTCCACACAGCTGGGATCACTGGGAAGGCTTACCTAAAACAAACAGAAAAAAATTAAGCACCATCTAGCTATTCTAAGGAAGCCTATTGTATACAAGTTTACTCTATAGGACAAATTACATAGAGCTTAAAGTTGTTTCTTCCAATTAAACACTAAGCAGCATTCACAATTGGCCAATTTTGTTTTACTTCAGTGAAGCAGGAAGATCATAGCTCAAGGTGCAGAATAAAAGTGACTCCTTCCTCCACAGCTGATTTGTTGGGACACTGAACCATCTCCCATCAGACTGGGCTTGCATTTGCTCATCTAACCAAAGAGGGAGCTTGATTTCATGATCCTTAAGGCCTCTTTAACCCCCTGATGGTTTAGTACAACATCCATTTGAAAGATGAGGCCTGTATAAAACACTTCTATGATTGAATTGAGTCATCTTTGAGGTTGAAAGTCCAAACTGATGGCTACTTTTTTTTAATTCAAGCCAGGCATGGTGGCACACACCTATAATTCCAGCACTTGGGAGCCTGAGGCAGGAGGATCATAAATTCAAGCCCAGCCTGGGCTACATAGTGAGTTCAAGCCAGCCTGGACTGTGTAGCAGGACCCTATCTTGAAAAATGTTTTTTTTTATTCAAAACATTAAAACTAAACACCTGTGTGAATTACATCCTTGCCTTGACACTTAGAGAGAATCTCAGACATCCATCAAGTGAATCCCATGAGTTGTATTTCTTACAGAGACACCTTCCTGATCAATCTGAATGCAAGCCACTTGTAGAAACGTATTGCAGACCTATTCCATGTCAAGCACATGGTCTCTTTCCCCAGGAGCTGCATAATCAGTGAAAGCAAGAATCCAAATATCAAAATGAGACACCAGCTACAAGACAGGCCATGATGAGGGACCGTGGATTAGGACAAGCATCTGGAGAAATGTCTGCTAATCATCACCTCACTGTGCAGGCTATGAGCCTACCCCAAGCATTACTAACTCTCTCCTTCACCACTTCACCCTCTCCAGGACTACAGTCTGATCCCAACCAGTCCCCACCCTGTTCTGGTAGGGAGGACAGTGGGTCTCTCTTGTTCACTGGCTTAGGACAGTCTGCAGAGAGCACTGCCACAGCTTCCATATGCCCCAAGCCGTTGCAGAGGTACTGTTTTACCCTGAGACTGCAATATGAACCCAACTACATTTGAGGGGATGGGGAATAGACTATGCTACCTGATTTCCTCAATCTTAAAAAAAAAAAACACATTAAAAAAACTACAGCAAATCTTCAATTTGTATTAAAGTTGCTACTGTACATACATTAATTTCAACTGGCATTTATTAAATATCTCCTACATGCAAGAGTCCCTGCTCCAGGGAGCATAAAATCTCAATGAGCAGTGGTAGGCAGGGACAGTCATTAACAATGTGGGGCCAGCCATACTGGATTACCCAGTGCAGTTCCTCTTTACACTTGTTGTCCTGGTGTAATTACTGATGGCATCCTCTTTCATCCTCAAAATGTCCCAATTTGGCCCTAATCATATAGCCATCTTTCTTATAATACTACTAATAAAACCAGGTAGAAGAAACAATGAAAAAGAGGGTCCAAAAGTTGGTTCATTGTAAAGAAGCTTAAATTACAGGTTTCAGATAAGGAGCCCACAGGTGACTTAGCCTAGCATGGTTCATTCATTCTTTCATTCAAGAGATATTTTTGAAGCCCCAGGACTGTGCAACAGCCTGGTGCCAGGTAAATATACAGTGAGAAGAAAAAAGAAGATGCAGTTTCCTTCCTCATGGAGTTTGCAGGCGCTACAAGAAGGTGGGCATATATGAGGAATCACAGTTACACCACTGTCGCTGGCAAGTGCCACAAAGGCAGAGACTAGCTCATGGACACCAGTTCTATGACATAAAAGGTTCTATGTCCAAATAAATGTGGGAGAGGCTGTCATTCTCATTTCCCTCTTGAAGGCACAACAATAAGCCAGACATGATGAGACAACTGTGTGTTTTAACACAGCAATCCCCCACTTACTTGAGCCTTGAATTCTTGAGTTTTTTGATTTATTGTTTTTTCAATTAGTGAATATTGCTACTTTATAGAATATGTGTTCACAGAAAGAATATACAGGGGGAGATGCTGTGCTAGCATATTATCAGAGTATAGAACTCACTTGGTAATTTTTAACAGCAAATCAAATCCCATTGCTGAATGCTCCAGCAATTGTCAAGACAATTCTTGAACTTCCCGCTAACGCCTTCCCTGAGCATAAAGGTCAAAAGGATTGGAACAAAGGCTTAAATCTTCAATATCATTGCTGTGCTCTACCAGTGTAGGCAGCCTATGCTAAACATGTATGGACCAATGTCATGCAAAGATCTTTGTTGTCCTTTTCCACATAAACAAATCAATGTTAATTTTGAAAATAAGGAGGAAAATATAATCACTAATATATGCATAAAGCAAGAGCACTTGCTTATGAGTCAAAAGAATCAGGTGAGTGTTTGGAAATAGGACTTTACTCCTGAGTTCTATTTTCCCAACTATAATAGAAATAAAATAATGGTAATACCCAGCCCTTTTAAATATCGCAGGATTTCTGTGAGCATCAAATGAAATAAGTAACAGAACAGTGCTATGTAACTTACAAAACCCACCACACCAAGCCAGTTACTACCCCTTGTCCTATGATTCGCCTCACTTCTGTTATTAAAATCCCAGGCTTCTTGTCTGTTCAAGCTAAGAGCTGACTCACACTGGCCATGTCAGAGTATCATCTGGACACCTGGATTTACACATGTCCGTTTCTTTATGGAGGAAATGCTGTCAAAAGAGACAGAGTTGCAGGCTCTGGGGCTTTGCAGCAAATCCAATAACGAGGATCAGAGTCGGTAACACTGGATTGAGAAGAACTCTACAGACAGGAGCAGTCAGATCAATCTGCATTCACATCCCATGTTCAGATATTTGTTTTTTTTCTGAAGTGACTAGTTCAGCAGATTCATCTAGCACAGCCCACAGCTGGTTTCTCTGTAAGATAACTCCAGTGGAGTAGCAAGGGCTTCTTAATTAGCCAGCAGACATTTCCTACATGCCTAGAACTGTGCTGGGTGTGGGGGTTGGTAAGACAAATAACTATGAGACTTGGTCTCTTTCTCTCAGTTAAATGTCTAGATGGGACAGGAAAACAAACAATTAGGGACCCACTGGGACATACATTGTAAGGTAGTCCGAACAAGGGTAATAGGATCCTATTCATTCCCAGTTGCCTATTCATCAGTTCTCCCATTTACTTCTTTAGACACAAATCCTGATTGAGCTCACACTGTGCTCAGGATGGTGCCAAGGGGGAGGATTTAAAGATGCTGAAGACAACACCACTTCAGCCTTCAAGGCTCCGCGAGGAAGGGAGAGACAACACTTACAGGGGAAACAGACAATACCAAAACAGGAGGTCTCATTTCAGTGCCAGGGAAAGGGTACCTACCGGGTTCCCAGACAGAGCCATGTCTGACAGAAGGTCCCAGTCGCCGAGGTCCCCACCGTAGTCCTTACTCCACATGGGAGTGAGAAGCCAAGGACTTGACATGGCTGAGAAGGGCTGGGGCCACCTGAGGCCACTTCAGTCTCTGAGCACCCCCCACAGCGCTGTGGCCGGGGCTCCCTCTGCACACTGGAAGGAAGCTGATCTAAGGCCGGGCTGGGTTTTGTCCTCTTGCACTCTTGGTTCCTGTCAGGCACCCCCCTGCACACCTCTCCCGGGAATTCCGGAGGAGCCACTCACACAGGTGTGACAGAAAGAGACTGAGGAAGAAAACTACTGGTGGCCCTGGGATTAGAACTGCTGCCCATGGAGTTGCCAAGCTGCCTCTCAATTCCGGAGCCACCTTCTCCTCCCTTTAAATCCACTCTAGAGTATTCAGATAGTCCACAAAGCCCAAGTTAGCCACTCAGAGCAGCAGCGTCCTTTCACATTCCCCCTCTCCACCCCCTCCTCCTACAGTGGAAAGCAAGCTGCGTGACAACGCACAGGGAAGGCTGTGTGCTCACTCCTGGCCCCAGACAACCCTCTTGTGCTGGGCAGGGTTGTGGTCCTCGGAGGGCCCATGAAGGGAGGCGCACGTCGGGCAGGTAGTGAGTTGCCTGAGAGCTCTCACAAGTGCGTACCCTCTCTGCATCTGATCTGACAGCGCAGGCTGCCACCCCATGTAGCACAGGGGGACCACATACAGATCATCTGCCTGGTGATAAACACATATCTTATGAAATAATCAGGCTACCTTTACATCACCAGATAGTCAATGAACTGCAGCAACAATAAATGAATTACATAGGACGTTTTAATCACTCTGGAATCCATCGGTTTGCAGCATACTTCTTGGAGGTTAGATATCAAAAACACCCTGATTGTGGCACTGAGGCACCTAAGCAACAGCTACCACTAATAGAAAACAAGGAGATTAATGTAAAGCATTAAAATAATGATCATCACGTGGCTAACTCAGGGAAGTTGGACGCATGCCTCCGAGTAGATTCTTGCTAAGGGATTGCAGGGGAAAAGTGGTCATCTTTTTGTGGCTGTTTTTTTTCTAAAATCCTCCGGAGGTTGTCCTGCAACACCTGCCAATCAGAGCCGAATAAGCTAAGTGTGCTCCTCCCTGACAAGCATTTCTCAAGGTAAAATTTAAGAACTACAGGTTGAATTGCAAATTAAGTAGTGGGGCCCAGTTAAACAATTTCCACCATCGGTACAGGTGGCAGCCTCCAAAGTAATTCCATTTGTATTTTCATTAACAAATCATCACATTTATCCCCATGATTGATTTATGGCACGCTGCGCTCCACTCCCTGACATGGCACTCATAAAACGGAAACTTGGGATGTGATGTTGTGCTACCAAATGAGTGCTCGCTCTTTTTCAAATTTTAATCCCCATCACTGGTCACTTATGAAAAGGGGACAGCAGCCTCTGAGGTTCTTATTTGCATGCCTTTGGGATCCCCCTCATCTCCCCATTCAGGGGAGTTTTCCAAACTG